GCTACCACACTTGGAAAGATTTCGCCTTGTGACACAAAACGTGTCTTGAGGAAGTGAAGATGCCCAGGGGATCCGGCTGCGTCGGGAGGAGACGAATGGTACGGGGCATGGGTCTAGCGCTGCTGCTGCTGCTGGAACGACGGCGGTGGCGGAGGCTGCGGCGGTGGCTGCTGCTGCTGGTAGTACGGTGTCGGAGGAGGGTAGTACGGCTGCTGCTGGTAGCTGTAGTCTGGCGACGGTTGCGGATACTGTGGCGGCTACTCCCACCCCCCGTACTCGGTGCCATACGCGGGCCCCCCATGGGGCGCAGCACCATACGTTTGACTCACATTTTCATGCCCGTGCGCTGGCCGCCACTGCTGCTGCGGTGTGCGGGGGGGAGCTGGATGTTCGTGATGCTGCGGTCCTCCGTAGCCGCCGTGAGGTCCGTGCTGGGGCCCACCACCCCAGCCCCCCCCACTGCGGCTCGGCTGCTGTGGCGGCGGTCCCCGAGGTTGCTGTTATTGGGGCTGCTGCTGTTGCTGTTGCTGTTGCTGAGGCTGTTGCTGAGGCTGTTGTTGCTTGGGCTGCTGCTTCTTCCGTTGGCGACGCTGGGTGTAGCACTCGCTGTTGGTGTGCGACGAGTACGGATGATAGTCGCAGCGCTTGTCTCCGTCCGCCCCGTTGTTGCTGCTCCGACCGCCTCCATTGCCGTCCTGACCCCCGCCGTTCCCACTGGACCCATTTTGGACACGTCCGTCGCCCCGGTTCCCACCGGCAGCGACGAAAGCGTGCCCCGCGCCATTCTGCGGCTCCCCCTCCCGTGCGGTCACCATATCCTGATGGGCATCTTTCACGACCTTTTCAAGGTGCTGACGGGTTAAATTGGGGGGCAGAAGGGCACGCAGCATGGCTTTCTCCATCTTTTACTCTGAAGACAAGTTGTACGCAACGTGCAAATTGGCATCATCGTCGGGGTATGTGACGCCGTGTGAGGCTAACCTACTGCGCAAAACAGCAAATCTTCCGAAATATTCTTGCGGAGTTTCACCCACTCGCATTTTGATGGGATGGTATTCTGAAGTCAACCGTGTTTTCTCTGCTCTCGCCTGGGGTTCGTAGTATGCTAGAAATAACCCCACTGGGACTACCATCAGCGATAATCTGGGTCAAGACAGGCATGTAGGTGATTGTCGTGATGATCAAATTCCACGCCGTGATCGCCTTTTCTACCGTTTCAGGCGAGTGCATCCTACGTAAGTCCTCCATGTCTACTCCTTCTAGCCCAACTGGAATTCTGCAGTCACTCAATACCACTTCCCGGACTCCTTCTTGCGCAAACATCGCAGTCATATTCGATCGAAAAATCAAAAACTTTGCCTGCTTATCCTCCCCGAATCACACCATCCCACGGCGCTAGGCGCTTAACCTCAGTCATCCTAAGAGTCGCTGCGCTACTTGGTACTCTACCCATGTCTCCGGGTGACATCTGAAGACGGCTGGTCAGGGCGTCGGCGAGAGTGCGGGCGATGTCGTCTGTGGACGGGTCGGGCGATGGTCGCCCCGCATGTTGCTGGTGGCGTGTCTCGTGGTCGTTCCCGCTCCGGACGTGATCTGTCCTCTGCTGCTGCTCGTCTTGTTCCCTTGTAATCTCGGCCAGTCTTGCTGCTACCCTCTGGTTGACCAAGTCGTTGATCCGGGCGTCCTCCTCTGCTAGCCGGGCGCTCACTCGATCTTGCTCGGTGTCGCTCATCGGTGGCTGCTGCTGATCGCTGCAAAGCGATGTAACTCCAAACTAAGCTCGACGCGAATTCGTTGACGACGTGTCATAGGCTAGCGTGATCGATAATTCGGGTGGCTCAGTTCTTTGTGTTGGGAGTGTAGAGCAGCTGGGCCATGACGGGCCGTGGTAGGGTAGGGACGTATAGGAAAACGTGTTGTAAAACGTATAATGGTCATCGGGGGCGTGCTTCAGCTCGTCAATCGGTCACGGCATGGAGTCACGGGTCACGCTCATCACGCTCAAAGTACCTAACGAATGTCCATGAATCTCCACCATTGCATCACACTCCCAAGGAAAATATGAAGAAACTTCCTGTTCCTCCGAACTCGTCACTACATCAATACGTAAGATATCACCCACCATGCTATGCTACGGGTATATCTAATAAAACGCTCGGTGTGCGTGCTTGGTGGGTTCGGCCACAGGACGGCGATTGATTGTCCTTTTTCATCGAGATGGCGGCGGGTGAACTTTTTTTTTGACTAGTCGAAAGGGGCACGCCCGTGTTCGCACCTAGAACTCACCCATCTCTACGCCTACACACCCAAGACTCGCTACGCCCAGAGAGCCACATATCACACCACCAGTGTCCTGATTATCTTACGCAATACCGGCCATCCACTGTGCAGTGTCGCTGTTGGTGTTAGGGTTATGTCTCGACGATGTGCGTTGGCCCGTTGGTGCATATTCATACGATATGCATACCACGTTCTGCGGATTTTTCAGACTGACCTCCGCACATGCGTGCACTTGTTGTGCACAAGTGCACTTATCCCATGGTGCCTGTGGTAACTACAGGCCCGTCAGTCATTCTCGCTGAAGAAACGAATGGAAATGAGGGTGCAGCTTGTGACAGGGAAAGAAGCGTTGAAAAAGTACATGTACGCCCTTACCACAGTATCATGTATTTTTTCGATGGTAGACTTGTTCCCATACCGTTCCCGCGGGCAAGCAGTGTGGCGCGCGTACTCCCACCTGACTAATCCTGGGGTCTACGCGGCCTGCATAAACATTGCACACTGTACTTGCACGACCTAATACACACTGTGTTCCAGTTTTCTGCTATTGTTTCGAAGCCTGTGCCTTCTCTGCCTACAGTCTACTGCTGTAGACCTGACCCGTGCCCGGTCGAAAACAGTACTGAAAATTTGACGACGTTCACCCTGCGGTGCTGGTACGTCGTGCGCGACGAAGTGCGCGTGCAGTAGCGCCGGGATTTGTTGCTGCTATTTGCCGTGGGTGCATCTACAGTTGCTTACTGTCATTATCACAAATAAATGTACCACATGCACAACTCCATTTCGCGGACACAATACAGCATGTTTCCACCAAGCCGTTACAGAGCACCCGAGGTTGCGCCGCTTCCGGTGGAGTAGAACTGATCGCTGTTCCCGACGTATAGTTGGGGGCGGATGGAAATATGAAAGCCCGTCTTGTAACGAACTCGGGTGTCAATCAAAGCCGACGAGGGATGTTGGTCACCGCTTGTAAGCCTTCTGTCGAAAATATGTATATATGTATGAATGCAGCGCAGTCGACTATCCAGTATCCACGATCTAAATATGCAATTATAATACATGTATTAGGAAAGATAAATACAAACGAACACATACAATGCTGTTGACCCACATTTGTTACCAGCCTCGGCATAGCCCCGGGCGCTTGCATGGCAGCACGTGCGTGCCGCGTTGTTGAGCAACCCGTAGATGTCACTTCACAAGCTATCCTTATGTCGCCGCCGCTGCTCTGACAGCTTGTCAACTTTATCTTAGTTTCGCGCAGCGCAGGCGCTTGACAGTCCCGCGGCGGAACTGTGCCGGTGCGTCGGATCTCATTTCCTCTAATCCACCGATACGTTGCAGACGTCCGTCCCCGTCAATATCTATCCTCTAGCTATGGACGGCGTCATATATCCCTGACTTTACATACTCAAACATGCCATGAAATGTCTACCTTTTGTACACAACCACTTTAGCCATGTATGGTCTACTCGTTCCGCGTTGGAGGTTCGGTAGCGCAGTCGCTTGACGGAACGGCGATGGACGCTATCATGAAAATTGCCGGGTGGCGTACGGAGAGTGTAGCGAAGCGATATGTTGGCGCCACTACTAGTGTGGGGGCAACGGGTTCCAAGAGGATCCGGAGCGAGCTGTACGCAGACTCAAACGTGTTGCCGTTGTCGGCTGACTTCACATGCGATTTCTCTGCGTGTGCTCGCCGCGAAAAATAAGAAAGTTTGGGTGGGCGAGACCTAGCTTAGAGGCGTGAGTGGTCAATAAATAAGATGTGACAGATCGGATAATTAACAAGAAAGTAATGGGCGGGACCACAGACCGGCGCAGGAGGCCTCACCCAACCAAATCCAATACTTACATTGAATGATCTGGGTAAGGGATAAGAATACAACAGTAATCTCGGATTTGAGACGCATCTAGATTTCGGAACGAAATCGAGAAGAGTCAGATATTCCAGAAAGGATGTTGGAAAATGACCCCACCTAGTTCAGTCCCCCTTTTCTCTCCCGAAATACGCCGGAGCAGAGAAGAAGGGGTATATTTGAGACCATCCCACCCGCCCTACACAATGCTTACTATATTCATGAACTTGCTGATCATTCAAACACTTTGGGCCTGGGTACACCCAGCCCAAAGGGTTACTTGTGGCGAGGCCCTCCTGCAGGCGCAGGAGGCCTCACCCAACCAAATCCAATACTTACATTGAATGATCTGGGTAAGGGATAAGAATACAACAGTATACATGTACATCAGAACTAACTGGTGCGTAGAACCGGACCGAGTGCCGGCATGCCGGCATACGGGTAGGCGGTCGGGTAGGCGGGTAATAAGAAGAACACGCAGCTTGCCCGACCCGGAGTGTTCCGATGCTTTCGCCTGTCTCGTGTTCCTGCTGCCGTGGCCCGGTCAAGCAAAGTGACACATATAGAGCAACAGACTTGCGACACACACAATCAGGGTATCACGTTAATTCACCACCTCGTTTGGTTGTGTACCCCGGAGCAAGGTTGAAATTTTAATTTTTACCATTTATTCAACGGCATGATGGTTGTTGAAGTTTGGCGTTGTTTTTCAACGGTCCCCTCACGTCCTTCATTGACTCTTCATTGCTTCATCAACGCTCAAACCGCCCGCCCTGTGTCTCGGCCCCAGAAGTGGGTGCACCCGATGGCATTTTTACAATGATGAACTGTAGCGTGCCAGACCCGCCTCGCGGCGAAAAGATGATCATGACACACAACAACATGTTTGTGTATCTCGCCAACAACTCGACGGTGGTCCCGGGAGGGGAGATGGATGGAATGAACACCAACTTGCCAAGAGCGGAGTGTATTCAAGTCCTTGCGGCTTCGTTCGCTGAGGGTGTTAAAGAGACCACGACGATCTGTGCCCTGGCGGCGGCGTCTCCGGAGCAAGGCACCGCTCGGAAGTATCTTGAGGGCACCAGTCGGGCGATCTCCGCTACCATCGACGAAGATCAAAAAGTGAGAGATATAATAAGAACCTGTAGTGCATGTAGCTGGTGCTGTTTTCGTTACATGTCCACTCGACCTGAGCAATACTCGCCATGTGACCGCACAACAACAATTCAGTCTCCTGCATCTGCGCGCCCTACGCCTAACTAACGATAAACGCACACACGTATACTGAAACACATTTTGCTTTGTACGAGCAATGTGTACGCAGCGTTCGATGCACTTTAGCGTTCCGTTAACGAACAAAAAGTCGATATCTTCGCTTGTCACCCGCAGTTTTTCAACTGACCAGTAAACGCTGATTCCAAAATGTGTCCGTGCTGCTTGTCGGCTTTTGCTTGTGCTTGTGCAGCTCGGAAAGGAAACCCTCGAGGGTTTGCGCGGATTGCAGGGCGGCATCGAAGATCTCCTTCACGGCACATCCGAGCCGACTTGGGAACAGAGCTTGAAGGTGGCGATGTGGGTGAGTCTTGGGTGTTGCATGCATGATTTTGTGAAAGCTCTGTTTTGCGGACTTGAGCGTTCTCACGAGCGTTGACATGTCAGGCACAAGAGCACCCAAACGAATGGGTGGTCTTTCTGTGAGATTATGTGTACTTCCTCAAAAGAGCACCGAAACGGTTGGTCGTTGTTTGGGGTGCTCAGCAGGATACTGATCTACGGGGCCTCCGGGGGTTACGTGGATGATGTTTGTGTATGATGGACATGATACGTGCGGGGCCCCTCGTGCCTCCGCCGTGCATGCCACTCTCTAATCAACCAAAGGTCTTGAGTCAACCTTCTTTCTCTGTCGGCCTCTGACGGGCTACCGCACCCAAACACAATATATTGGGCCTGGTGTTGGTAGTGGGTATTGACGTCTGAGCTGTGTGAGCCGGGTCAACGGAGCGGTCGACACTTTTCTTCCATATTTCTTCTAGCAGGAATCGCGGCCAACGGGGGCGAGGACAGCAGCATTGTGTAGCTGGTGCGGTGGCCATTGCGGGGACCGGGACAGCAGGTTTTATAGCTGGGACAGTACTTCGAGGCTGCGACAGCAGGTTTAGGGTTTTAGTTAGATATGTCGGATGGTGGGGATACGGAGGATATTGCAGCTGTGCGCGCGAGGCTGGATGAGGCGCTGCGAGCTATAGAGGCTGCTAAGGCTGAGACGGCGGAGGTTCGGGCAGCACAGCAGCAGTCGGCGGGTGCACCTGCCGGCAGCCCAGGAGGCGACGGTCTAGTTGCTACTGGAGGGGCTCCATCTGCATCGGTGGGGCCGACGGGGCCAGGTGGGGTGAGTCACGGTGGTGGTACTGGTGTGCCGGGTTTGCCTTTGGGAGGTACCATTGTCAGAACTCCTGTGCCTAGACTCCCGTCAAATTGCACCGCCGACGCTTTTCTTAGTTGGCGGAGACGGTTCCGAGTCTACGCGGACAACCATGATCTCCTGCATACCATCGCCGGCAGTGCTGAGGTTCCCCTTGTGAGTTGTCAAGACGTCGGATACCTGACTCGCCAGTTCGGCTCAAAGCTTGTTGGTGAGCACAAGAGGATGTGGGGTTTTATCTTGGAGGCAGCGGTGGGGGCCCCATTTGAGAACACCCTGTACTCTTGCCATTCCGTGGCCGATGCGTGGAGGATGATGGAGGATTGGTTTTTGCCGAACCACCCAGCTCCAGCCGATTGTCAGCTTCTTGTCGCCGAGCTTGACAACATCACAATGAATGAAGGATGATGAGGACCCCAAGGTGTTCTTCTCGCGCGTTGCACAGCTTGAGACCAAGTTGCGGGCTGTGGGCATTGTCAAGAGTGAGCTGGAGGTTGTGCAGATTCTCATCCGTCAACTCCCTGCACGCTAGGATGTCGAGAAGCGCAGTAGCCTTTCCAAGCGTGATCTAACCCGCGCTGAGCTGCAGGACGTCGTGCGTGGTCGGTATGCTGCGCTCAAGGCTAGCGAGATGAGGTCGGCGGCTGTGACACCGGCGGTTTCCGCCAACCCGCATGCTCTTGTTGTTGGCCGTGGTTTTGGGCACGGCGGCAACGGGGGGGGCGGGGGGGGCGGAGGCCAACGGCGGAATGGTAACAGCGGCGACGGCCGTGGGCAATATTGGTCCTCTGGGGGAGCTGTTGCCCAACATCAGCAGCAACCGCGGCAACAGCAACAGCCGCAGTCGCAGATGCAACAGTACCGACAGCCGCAGCAGCCGCAGGGGCAAATGCAAAAACCGTACCAACAACCGCAGCAGCAGATGCGACAGCAACAGCCGTACCAACAGCAGTCGCAGATGCAGCCGTACCGGCAGCCGCAACAGCAGCAGCGGCAGCAGCAGCAGTCCGCCATGATCGGGGTTGGCGGGATCTACGAGTGCGGTAGTAACGCCGTGTACTACCAGCCGGAGTCACCACCTCCGCCCGGCGCGCCGATGGGTACAGTGCACCGATGCATGCGGTGTGGGAGGCACGGCCACCACGCCGGGCATTGCGCCGCCCCCCGCAGGTTCGAAGGTACGTGCGGCGCCTGCGGCCAATACGGCCACATGTGGCGCAGTTGTGTCAAAAGTAACCGGCACCCTCACCTCAACGTCGTCACTTCTGCTGGTGCTGTCGATCCGGAGTACGCGTACGCCACCACGGATGCATCGACCGCCCCATATCGTGATATCCCGGCGGCCGATGGGATGTACTACAGTGACGCCATGATGGCCGGTGGCGGTGGTGGCGGCGGCAGCGGCGGTGGCGGCAGCGGTAGTGGGGGCGGCGTTGGCAATGGGGCGATCGTACAGCAGCAGGTTGTGACACCGGCCAAGCCCTTCTTTGAGTTTGTCGACATTTTCCACGGCGGCGGTGGCGTGGACGGTGGCGATGACGGATTGGAGCCCAACGGTGCCATGGCGACAAGTGACTCGGCGGGAGCGGTTCCTGAGGTGCTTGGCGGCGACGGCGAGGTTACCTTTGGTGGCGGTCTCTTCGCGATGCACCTTGTCTGTTCCGTCTCCTCATCCCCCCCTGCGCGCGAAATATCCAACCTTTTCCCGCATCGCCCGGGTTCCACAGTCTTCCTCGGAGACTCTGGCGCCGTGGTCCACGTGGTCCCTTCCGGGGAAAAGGTGTACAACAGGCGTCCACCGCGCCCGGAGGAGCGGCTACTCATGCTTGACGACGGCAAGCTTATCCCGGTAGAGTTCTTCGGTGATTTGGATATGATTTTCCATTGCCATGAGGATGTGCGTGTTACGCTGAAGAATGTTGGCGTGGTACCGGACTTGGCGCTAGATGTTCTGTCGCTGAACCAGATCCAGGAACGTCATGAGATCAAGCTCAACCGGTATGGGGCATCGATTTGGGGGGGGCTAGTGCAATTCACCAAATTCCCGCACGGAAACTACATCCAGGGGACTCGCGTCGATCCACTACCCCACCACGTCAAATCCCCCGCGATGGTCGCGGCGATGCTACGGCCTGGCCTGCAGTCTAGTATCAACTACAACGATCTTCACTGCTCCCTCGGCCATGCCAACTCCAAGACCGTATACGAGACCGCTAAGCAGATGGGCATCAAGGTGACCGGCACTCCGGAGTATTGTGATGGATGTGCGGAGTCGAAGGCGATCCAGCGCTCGGTCCCCAAGGTCATCTCCCCTTCCCGCCGGACGACGCGGCCTCTTGAACGTGTCGCCATGGACCTAGCGGGTCCTTTCGGCTCATCCAGCCGTGGTGCCAAGTACTCCGAACACTGTGCCATTGGCTTCAGCAGCGAGGGCTTTCGGGGGGATGGACGTTCTTGGGGGTCGGTAGGAGGGACGGCCGGGGTCCCCGCGGTGGCGGCAGGAGGGGCGGCATCGGCAGCAGCTCCGGCGGCGACGGTGGCGACCTCTGGCGGCAATGTTTTCCCCGCGGCGGCGGCGGGGGGAACGGCCG